TTATAATTTCTGTTTGAAGTTCTTGTAACCATTTTTTACAGATATAAAAGGTATTACCTTGTTGTGCTTCCCTTAATAAAGTATAGGTTTTGGAAATAAACCCCCTGGGCTACTGACCTTTTTATATTCTTAGAAAATAAAATTCCTCTGTTGCAGAGAAAGAACTGTGCAACTAAGCAGCTGCTTTTTGAATTGCTAACAATCGAGCTATGGAATAATACAGAAGGGAAGAGTGAGTCTTGGTTCACTACCCCCTTTTTCAATTGTGGATTTTTGTATTTAACTCTGTGGCAGTGGCTATTCGAAAAGAATGGGCCACAAATGCTCGAGCAAGCAGATCAAAACTCTGATGAAGAATAAGAAGTTTTGAAATGTAAAAATAAGACATCATGATTAAAAAAATATACAAAATATAGAAAAAGGTACCTCGGAATAGGGTCCTAAATTCATAGCCAGGCTTTTAAAATTACTGACTTCTTTTCATTTTACTAAACTATATAGGACCTCAGCAATTCTGAAAATGAGAGCATTCATTTAAGCTCCTATATTTAGGCCTAAGAGCCTATGTTTAAGCATCCATGCTTGAAAATCTTGGCCAGAATCTCGTTTCATTCACTTTTGAGGAAAGTAATTTAGGAAAATAAATGTGTGCTCTTTACGTATGGTTTACTTTGTCAGATAGTGTTCTGATCTTAAGATAAGTGGAAATAATTTAATATATGAAGATTTGCAGTTTTCTAAATAGAGTGGTTAAAACCTTGAGTTTCCACTTGATGGGAAATACCCATATTTTGAAATGGCATTTTTCCTCATTAAGACATTGGCACGTCAGCATTTTCAATGTAGCAGAAACTGTGAAAGGTTGTAGTTGGTAAAAATTCAGATGTTCAAAATCTTTGAGGTAAATGAGATTAAGTGATTTCTGGGCCTTGGGAGAAATTCTCTGGCTTTTTTAATACCTGCTTCTGTAGCGGAAGACCTGGGGCTCAGAGTTCGAGGGCTGTCTGTTCTGAAACCTGGGACACTAGAAATCCTGACTTCCAAACATACAACTTCACATGAATACTGGGAATTTTCCAAAACCTATTAATTTTGTAAGAGGTTATTGACATTGTCGTATATTGACCTGTATTACTTCATAATTGCATATAGTGTGCTTTCTAGCAGTACAAGATATAGCGAACCTCTACCGTGTGTGGTTCTTTCACTCTCTTGATGTGTTCAGTGGAAAATGAGTTATCTGGGATAACACATACATTAAAAATAAACACAACACACAGCTGTGCTTTGAGTTGGTTAGAGAAGTTGAAGTCAAAGGAAGTCCACCTCACATCTGGAATGAGGGAAGAGGAGGTTTGTGTTGGTCATTGCTTTCTCTGAGACTTGATTCCAGGTTCCCTTCAACCCAAGAAAGATGTCCTGCACTGAAGTCCTGAGGCTCAGGGAATTGGAAAGCACCTGTTGGGTCATCTCATTAACTCCCTTGCTATTGCAGGGAATCACAGTATTGAAATCCTTTTCATAACTTGATCTACCTTCACAACAGAAAGAAGTCAGGTTTCTCTTTAACCAGAGCATCGTATTTTTCCAGTTTCATGTGACTCAACTTCAACTAGCAAACTTCAGTGTTTTCAGTTGCTCGTTAAAATTCTTCAATGGCCATTCCACCCTTCCTTGTTACCCAAGTGAGGGACTCTCAAGCCTCCCTCTGGAAGACTCTGGTATCTCCCAAACTTTTTAAACTGTAGCTGCTAAAATGCCTGTGAAGGATAGATCTCCACATGGCTATCCCTTAACTTATCATAGGAGCAATACAGTTTGATTTCAGTTTTATAAACCTTGTATCCCAAAATGTCTCTGTCCTGGAAAAAGACCAGTCTGAAGAATGGGATAGCTTTCACTGACACCAAATGGTACAGCAAAACATCTGAGTCTAATGAAATGTGGCTTTCAGTGGAATCCTTCACAATATCCTGATTGTCACCCCTAATTCTTACAGCCAGTGATTCAGTCATCTTGGCAAATAATTAAGAGGAAAGATGACATCCCTTTCTCATATCTCTTGAGAAAGATTCCTCATCGTACAGAATCTCTTCTGTATCTTTTACAATGGATGCTGGTTGATCTTTAAGCTTCTGAACTTGTTTCATAAACACTTTGAAGCAATTCACATCTTGTAGGCTTTGCATATTGCAGACACCAGAAGAGGTAAAAGATGTCATCTGTGTGTATGTTAGTACTGTTACCTTCAGAAGGTCTTCCAGGTTTGAGTCTGTGCTCTGTTGGCTTCTAGCACCATACTAAACCTCACATTTCACGTAACTAAAATCTCGTCTGGAGTAAAATTTTCTGTGACTGATGCACATTTAGTTGTAGATGTCAGCAGGTCACTATTCTGTTTTGGGGTTATATTTTTGTAAGTGATAATCTTCTGCTTCGCCTCTGACACATACTTTCCTTCCAGCTGAATCTTTACCATGAGGCTAACAACTTGAAAGAGATTTCTGTGTAGGAGTACAACTACTCCTTTTTTCTTTTCCCAGTAGGAGATGAACCAAAGAAAATGTCACCCACTTGTTCCCATTTAAGTTTCATACACTCTGGGTCATTCAGATAAGTATAAACTGCTACTGAACATCTAAGTGTCTTTGTATCAGAGTTTTTCTTTTCAGCTAGTGTGTTTCATCTTCAAATACTTTATATCAATTCCATTTAACTAAATGATGGTTTGAAAGAAGATGTAGCTTCCTTGTTTTTAACTGATTTTTTACTCTTCTTATTCTACTTTGCAATATACCGATAAATGACCCTGAAAAAAAGGAAAAGAAATTGCTAAAGAACACCAGCTGGGAAATAGTCCTACCAGATACCAGACTCAGCCCCTGCTAAGCAGAGGGACCTATGTGGAATGTGTATGTTGACATTCAACACCTATTTGCCTTGAGATATCGCTTTGCCTGTACCCAAAGCCACTGGTGGTGTACTTTGTTTCTCTTGGCCTTTTCTCTGCTAATGAAATGTATGTCCTGATCACTGCTATTTTCCGGATTTTTTCTTGGCAAGGTGCCTGGTTACTGCGGAATCTGCATGAGCCAGGATGTCCTCTTCTTCTCTCCTGCTGGGCTGGTGAAGCAGATATAATTGCTGTGATCCCTTTAGCTTGGTAAAGGGACGCTCAGCAGCAGGCAGCCTACGCCATTCCCTCTCCCCTTCCTCACTCCAGGGCAAGCTGGAGATGGAAAGACCTTTGTCTTTTTGGAAAGCATGTTGAGGCTTAGTGTTTTGGATATTGTTAAAGGCAGATCAGCTGTGTGTTTATTCCGCCATCGTGACTATCTCATATATAAGGCTTCTAACCAGCCCTTTTCTGCTTTTCCCGTAAGCACGTAATTTGTTCCACAGTGCCCTTGAAGCCAATACAACAGCTTCACTGACATCCCTGGGTATTGGATTGGATCTTAGGTGCAGTATTTCTAACACTGCAAAATCCAGCCATACATTGCTTCTCACAACAATCTCCCGTTTCTGCTGAGAGGTGTATTTTGATACTATGAACTATTATATGTAATTTTACATTTGCTTGTGGACTTTGTTCAGTGAGAAACAGTATTACTCATCAAAGCAAGAAGAGTAGCATTAAAGAGAATGGCACATATTGTTCATTAATGCGGGAAATGGAGTAGGAAATAACCTCCATCCTTTGGGTTAAGCCCAAAAGTGTAATGGAATTACATTGGCCTGAACTAACATAGATTTCCTCACTTCTCGTTCACACAGCAGAATGTAGTAGCATCAGTCATCTTCCACTTTAACCAGCATAAATGCTCCTCTTTTTAGACAAAAAAAATTGAGTTGTACACTCATTTACCTTTATAAATTTAACAGAAATGAGACTCCACTATTCCACCTTAGGGATCGAATAAAGGTTGAGCCAATGCTAAAGTCTAAATGAACCATCTGTCGTCTTAGTGGCTTTTGCAAACTCTGTCCTTCTCTGCTGACAGGGAAAGTTGCTAAGCAGGTGATAAATATGGAAGACTACAAGTGGTGACTAACTTCCACTGGCAGGTTTTCATACTCCTACCACAGAAGTTGAGTAAAGATCAGACTTTGTTGCTTACTGTCCCTCAAAGAGAGAAGCAAGATTAAGGGATTTAAACACGGGATTTGTAATATCCAAGCTCACATTACCATAGAAAAATCCATACACTTTGTCAAACCTTGCCACTCTTGCTGATAATGGCATCACTCATCTTGTTTTGAAGCTTTTCACTTAGCACAGGTCCTATTAGTACAGAAGTGAACCCAGATTGGGTGTTTTGAAGTAAAATATTGTCTTTGTTCCTGCTTTTCTACAACCCTCTGCCCCTCTTAGGAACAAGGATGTGGGGAGATTTACAGTCTCCATTCTATGGCAGTAGCTAGAAGGCACTCACCTGAAACATCTAATTTTGAGTTCCCATAGGGCAGCTGTTGATACCCCAAGTTTGCTTTGTAGAAAAGATGCATGTAAACCCAATGGTCCTGGAATTTCACCTCATTCAGATGATTATTTTTTAACCTTTTCTTCCCTCCCCACTTCTCCACAGACAAATGTTCTTACCACAGCGATAAATTACCAGGTTGACCTAGAAAACTGAAGGCAATCACTTTCACAGATCAAGTCCCCAGAGGAGGATTAACTTGGCCTTCTTTTAAGGAGTGGGTAGAAGGGACCAGATCCTTAGCTGTTGTAAATCATTCTGTTCCACTGAAGTCAAAGGAACTATACTTATTTACAACTGCCCAGAAACTGATCCACTATTTCTATTTTTGTCCTGTTTATGCAAATTATAAGTGTCTCAGCATTTTGGCTACAGAGCGGGATTCCACTGAATGCGCTGTACACCTTACCTTGAGACCTTAGACATAGATGAGGTTTTGAAAGTTCTGATGTTGTCCTTTTACAACAGGAATTAGAAACCTTTGAACTGACGCCTTTCTCTCCCTTCTCATATCAGGCGAAACCCACTCCACTTCCACCTCATTGCAGATGCCATTGCCAAACAGATCCTGGCGACTCTGTTCCAGACGTGGATGGTCCCTGCTGTGCGCATAGACTTTTATGATGCAGATGAGCTCAAGGTAAAGAAAGACAAATGCAAATGTTACTCATGCACTTACGGTTTCATGTCACCCCTTTTTTATTCATCTCGCTGGATTGGGGACTTGAGAGAGAACTGCTGGCTAAATTATTCTCCCTGGCTAAAACTAATTCTAACGTACTTGATTGTAACCCCAGTTACACTTAACTAGAAGATACTAAATGGCTAAAATCAGTGTGGTTTCTCTGCTAATGGAATATGTTGTTTAGCAGCTTAGAATTTTACTTGCTATCAAGAGAATTCCGGTTGCCCAGGCTGAATTGCCTCTTATCACATTATGCTTTGCTAAGGTTGCTTCTTTCCAGTAGCAATGGTGTAATCTTAAGTATCTTGTTCAATAAGCCCAAATTTGCAACTGGAATTGCTTAACTTTCCTGCATTCCTTAAGCATGGGTGTGTAACACTGTAAGTACACACACTCTTGACGAGGTACCAATATTACATTTTGAAACAGCTTCCTTTTTTTATCTGGATGCCCTTTCAAAAGGAATGAATATGAAGAAAAGAGAGTTCCGAGGGAAAAAAAAATCACTTACTCAAAGCATAAAGTAATTATCTTTTCACAGTTAGAAAGTTTAAATTAGATCATGGAGGCACAGCATTGAGTCTGAGCTGCACATTTTTTAGCTCTGGAGGTAGAATGACATATTCAGATTTTAGTGTTTGGAGTTGGTGGCAATAATTTGTATGACTTATAAGACTGTTCTGAGAGGCACCCTGAAACAAGGAAAAAACAGAATTTAGCAAATTGCTGTGCTAATTAAGGGATAAATTCAAAGCACACCATGTTGTAGAATCTTGAGTACAAAAAGTTTTAGAAAGAGATGGAAAAGGGAAAAAATGTTCCTTGAGAAAAATATTTTGTTTCCAGCTTTTTTTATTGTTTTGTTAGTCCTTCTACATGAAGCCATGAGCTGCTACTAACCTAATTAGCTAGAGATCTGCCTTCTGTTCTTTATAGCTTCATATCAAGGAGGAGGTTTGTTCTTGTAAATCTTGTACGTGTCTATATTACATGTGCTTTTCTGCAAATTGTAGGATTTTACAGTGCTTAATTAGCATCTCAGCTGGGCAAGGCAGACCTCTTAGTGTTTTCCTTCTGGTCATTTGGGTATGGTCCAATCCAGTTAAGTAAATAATAACCAAGAGAGCTTACTTCAGTGATCCCCAGCTTGCCGATTTATAAGCGTGCAGATATGAGGCTACAAAGCAAAGTCTTGTTTTGTCCCACCCTCTTCACTCAACCTTTAATTTTTACGTGGCCAGTGACCTAAAGCAGCAGCACTGGACTGCCTTGCATGTAACCCATAGGCTTTAGGTTGGAGACCACTTTCTTACTGGATGCAGGTATTGGTGCATAAATACATCTTTCCAGGTCTGCCGCTCTTGCTCAGAGCTCATCATACTGCATACCAAGCAATTTCCCTGATTTCAGTAGCCAAAAAACATAGTATAAAGAACTACTCAGTATAGGTGAATGTGACAGACACTGCCAAAGGACAGCAAAGAGTTGTAAATATAAATGGAGTTTTAAAAAGCCGGGTGTGATGCTGGCTTATATCCAGATCATTCTGCAAGTTTTAGCAAAGACAGAGGGACTGTTTACAGACAGCTGTAGGAGCTCATCTCATTTGCTTCCTACATAGCCTCTAGAGAGGATTTAATGATTGGTTTGGGTTCATGTATTTCACCTGTACTCTTGGGAGCTATGCTATGCTGTCCAGTGTTAGGAAAATATAGCTGATGCTGGAATGTTTACTAGAAAGTCTAGCTTTCTCTAAAGTGATCTATGAATCCAGTCTTACAGTATATATTATGTTTCAGTTTTAATGACCCTCTATAGTTCTTTTTTAAACCTGTAATCAATACCAATTGCTGACATTTAAAAGGGTTTAGACGGAACAATAGGATGAGAATTTTCTGCTTAGTTTCATTCACCAACATTTCATTGTTTTGGAACACGTTTTAGCTGCTACAGAAAACATTTCATTTCGTGTTTGTTTTTTTCCCTTTGGATAAGTATGAGTTTCCAGCCTCTTGCTTCTAATGCAGCAGGAGCTGGCATGTTAGCTTAAGCCCTTAAGTACTGGGAAAAGTCCTGCTTCTGCTCCTGCTCCTGTTCCTGCCCAAACAGTGGAAGGAAGAACATAATATTAGATCCTCTGTAAATAGTATGGATGCTTTTTTGTTTTCAAGCAGCTATTTAGAATTCAGGCGACACTTTCCACTAGAGTATTAATTTTTTAAAAGGGAGAATTTGGAGACTAAAATGTTTGGCAATGTTTCTTAACATATCCTGCAGTTCTTAAAATACATGCTGTTTGGCTTAGAGCAACCAGCGTCCTGAAGGAAGGTGGGGAAAATAAGGCTCTGCAGTAGGTGTCGATTTCTCTCAAGTTTTAGAGAACTGGACATTCAGTGCAAGAAGGGGAAGACAAAGGATTATCCCAGAATTTCTAGGGCCAGCAAACCAACATCCCTATGTTGTCTGCTGCTGTGAATTAAGCACGTCAGATGTTCCTTTTAAAATTTAGAGAAGACTTGTTTTTCCTTTTGCAAGGTGACACAGCTGTTCATGTTCATCCTGCACCACAAAGAGCCTACGTTCATTCTTCCCCTAGAAGTGGGTGCTGCCAAACTGACACCAGCCTGCTTGGAAGAGGGATGGAGCACAGGAAAGGCTGGCCGGGGAGAGGTCTGTCTTTGCTTGAGGCACATGATAGGGGATGGGGCGGAACAGGAGGAGACTTGGCTGTGGTGCTGAGCCAAGATAACAGCATTTCCAGGAAAAGGGTCAGAGACAGTTGAGATGGGAGCTTGCTGGATATATTTCTTTTAAACAGCTAGCTTGATGATTGTAACAGCCAGTCCCACTAAGATGCTTAAAACCTCCCCCAACATAACTTGGCCTGTCTCCTCATTGCCTTGTCAATAACCACAAGGGAGATCTGTGCTTAAAAGCTCTCCCTCAACTTAGAAACTGTTTAGATTGTGAACTGTTCTGCCAGTGCAACTCTCTCCCATTAACTAAACTTGCTACATGCAGTTAGCAATCAGCAATAAGCATCCCTGAAGTGTGCGCAGCTGATAATGGTGCCAGTAATTGAGCCATTCCATAGCTGCAGAATTTATTCTTCTTCAACTCAGTATGGCCCATACATAACTCTTCCAAATTTATGTGGTCACATATGGCTGCGACTACAAACTGGAAAGTTACTTGGCATTATAGATTCACTTCATATGATCACATTAGCCGTGCTATTCAGCGTTGGTCCTAATGCAGTAGATGTAGCTGTTACAGCAATGCACCTCAAAAAATAACTGGAAACTGATAATTGTCGTCTTTGAACATTAAAAAAAAAGAAAAAAGCATACCTGTAAAACATCGATCTAAAAGACCCATTACAGCTGTGGCTTGCAAATAATAGGCTGCAGGATATTGTGGTTTTTTTCGGTCCAGTCTTACATGAAGAAACTCCAGAGCTAACTATTGAAGATGTGCAACACAAGCACTTAGCTTCTACGCGTCATTATTCAAACATGGAATCTCATGTATGGGCATTAAACCCACTGTGATCTGCATTGGCCCAGCACAGAAGGAGCCGCTGATAAAGCAGTGCTGTATGCATGATGTGTGGAATACAGATGAGGTGAGATTGTTTTCCCAGATGTTGCTGACAGACTGCCGACAACATCAGGCGAACTGGGGAAGCAGAAGGCAGAATGAGCAGTTGCCTGCTCTGCTGTGTGTGAATCTTGATGGCTCAGATAAACGTAGCCTCTTCATCACTGGTAAAGCAGAAAAGCCATGTCCTTTAACTAGTTCAGCCCATAAATGTGCTGCAATTGATCTGTGAACTTGAAGGTACAGATGATAAATAAGTTTTTGCAATAGATGAGCATTTGACCTGAAAGTGTAATGTGAAAAGATCCATACTTTGCTGCATATATTGACAATATTTCAGCTTTTACCGTTTCCAGAAATAATAGACCACAAATCTCACTACCAGTTCTGCCTTAGGTGATTTCATATCAGAAATGTTGATGTAGTCTGCACAGTCAGTCAAAACCAGTGGTGTGATCCAGAGAGCAAAACCAAGCTGGGATAAGGCATGGCATAAATATCACCTAACTTTAGGCATTTACTTAAGGATGAGATGAGTCACTCCTTAGCCACTTTCATCTGAACTGTGAAGGCAGGTCACTAGGTCAGGCGTTGGCGTAATTTGATCAGATGGGTGGGCAAGGGCTATGAAACTTAAGCAGAAAAATAGTGTAATTCTTTAATTACAATTCTAGTGTAGCTGGGTCTCAGGGCTGTGCCTGTGTGCACTCCCAATGCACTTAAGTTGCTAATTCCCAGAGTGGTCCTAGGACTCCCAGGCTGGCCAGCTGCATAGATGAGATAAAGGGCTGGTTTGAGACAGCAGACCAAGTTGAAACTAGGTGATTGACTGAAGTGCAGGCCATCTGCACGAGAAGTGTTTGACAGATTGTTACAGGAGCTGGCCCAGTGGGAATTTCAGACAGTTCCTTGAGATTTCCCAGGCAGTCCCTGCTGTGCCCAGACCAATTTGTATGCTTAAATGTGTTGACTAACATCCTGGATGGAGAATCTGGTTGTCCCAGGGAATCCCAGACAGTTCCTGCTGTAAAGTTAATCAATTGTACAAGGGTAAGACAGTCAGTAGAAACAGTGCCTACATGTGTAGAAACTATCATGTAGGACAGTCTTTCCTACATACTTAAGATAGTTAGTAAATGTTTTGTATGTAGGTTATGGTAATCTATAATGATGGATTAATCATGTTTTGTAGTGGTCATGTAGGACCACAAGCCAGATGGATTATAAATCATAGAATCATAGAATGTTTGGGGTTGGAAGGGACCCCTAGAGGTCATCTAGTCCAACCCCCCTGCAGTGAGCAGGGACACCGCTAACTAGATCAGGTTGCTCAGAGCCCCGTCCAACCTGGCCTT